GGGCCACAATTATAGAACGGAAGTTGAGGATCACAAATTAATTATAGAACAGCCGCAAATTAATTATAGAACAGGATCCTAATCCGCGCGGAATCGGAATCCGGATGAGTATGAAAGTACGGTAGTTTACCGTACTTTTGTATTGCTAATTCCGTTCTATATTGTGGCAACGCCTGCAGATAGTTAAGCTCCAAACAGTTAGCCATTATGAATATCTCAATATTTCTTTATAATGCGTTATCATCAAGTATGCATCTATATCTCTATCAAAATCTATTGTTGTCTTTGTTTTATCACTGCAGATCATGATCTAGATCCTTTTTTCATGAAATATCAATAGATCATCACCAATATCAATGACTATGTATCTATATTCTTTTTTAAATCTTTATCGTTTCAGTTGTTGAAGCTATATCACTTTTTTGTCCATAGTTAGCTATTGTATAGTTACCCTTTTCAGTTTTTCTTTCCAGGTTAACCTTCTGGCGCTGTTCCGTGCTGGCCTCCAGTTCGGCCGCGGCGAGCTATACGGTGGAGGGGTGCCTCGCCCACAAAAGGAGGCGGTTTTTAGGACTGGGTTAGATGAGGGTTTTAGTGGTCTTACAAATTTTCCCAAGCAGTGTGTCTGGGCCCTGGCATTTTCCCTCCAAATTTCCGTCTAAAGTGGCTCTTGTGACATGTCCAAGTGCATTTCGCCTGCGCAGGCTCGCACAAACTGTGTGTCCACGTTCTGGGCTCACTCTGGGCCCCGGCATTTTCCCCATAAATTTCTGTATCAAGGGGTTCTTGTGAAATGTCCAAGCTCATTTCGATTGCGCAGGCTCGCACAAAATGCATGTCCGCGTTCTGGGCTCACTCTGGGCCCTGGCATTTTCCCTCCAAATTTCCGTCTAAAGTGGCTCTTGTGACATGTCCAAGTGCATTTCGCCTGCGCAGGCTCGCACAAAATGTGTGTCCACGTTCTGGGCTCACTCTGGGCCCCGGCATTTTCCCCATAAATTTCTGTATCAAGGGGTTCTTGTGAAATGTCCAAGCTCATTTCGACTGCGCAGGCTCGCACAAAATGCATGTCCGCGTTCTGGGCTCACTCTGGGCCCTGGCATTTTCCCTGCAAATTTCCGTCTAAAGTGGCTCTTGTGACATGTCCAAGTGCATTTCGCCTGCGCAGGCTCGCACAAAATGTATGTCCACGTTCTGGGCTCACTCTGGGCCCCGGCATTTTCCCCATAAATTTCTGTATCAAGGGGTTCTTGTGAAATGTCCAAGCTCATTTCGACTGCGCAGGCTCGCAAAATGCATGTCCGCGTTCTGGGCTCACTCTGGGCCCTGGCATTTCCCCTGTCAATTTCCATATAAAGTGGCTCTTAAGACATGTCCAAGTGCATTTCGCCTGCGCAGGCTTCACAAAATGTGTGTCCGCGTTCTTGGCTCACTCTGGGCCCCGGCATTTTCCCTGTAAATTTCTTTATAGAGTGGCTCTTGTGAAATGCCAAAGTGCATTTCGATTGCGCAGGCTCGCACAAAGTGTGTGTCCGCATTCTGGGCTCCGGCATTTTCACCCGTATTTTTTTATAAAGTTGCTCCTGTGAAATGTGCAGGTGCATTTTGACGGCGCAGGCTCGCACAAAATGTGTGTCCGCGTTCTGGACTCTCTCTGGGCCCTGGCATTTTCCCTGCAAATTTCAGTATAAAGCGTCTCTTGTGACATGTCCAAGTGCATTTCGCCTGCGCAGGCTCGCACCAAATGTGTGTCTGCGTCCAAAGGCGGGGATCCTTGTTCTGTCGTGTCGTGTGTAGTCCGCCTTGTCTTGTCTTCCATTCCGATGTTCTGCGTCTTGCATCCGTCTGTCTTGCATCCGAGAGATGTCCCGCATAGTTATCCAAAACATTCGAAGCATCCGAGGCAAAGATTTGTCCTGTACTGTACTAGTATCACTTGCTCGTCTGTCTTCTCTTGCCATCGTCTATCTTGCACTGTCTAAGAGGTTCTTCCTAAGAGGCCTTTGCATTAAGATCTCCTTGGCTGCTCTGCCTTCGCGCAGCACGTGTGGGGCTTCTTCTGGGATGATTCTGAAACTTTCTACTGTAGATCGTGACCATTCTTTTTGGCATCTTGTCCATGTTCTTCCTGTGATCATCTTGTGCCATACTCTTTTACGTCTTCGGATCGGCTGCTACACATAGAGTTGCTTCTTCTGCCGCGCGTACTTCCTGCTGCTGCACCTACAAAACAACATGACCGCGTCTCTTTTTTGATCCGCGGTTATTGTTGCTTGTGTTTGAAGCATTGACAGCCCACTCCCCCCACACTGTTTGGGGCCTCGTGCCGGGATATTTTTTTGATGGGATTTTTGGTATATTCTAGTTGTTTATATGTGTGTGTTCAAAAAAAACAGGCTCAGAATTGCAAACCATTCATTTGAGAATATTAATTTAACTGGGTTATCATTCATGGGTTATAATATGAGACGCCACAAAAAGTCCGGCAATAGGAACCATGTAACGGACGGCTGTTGGTTTTCAGAAATTGTACAAACATGACGTCAGTACGGGACCTTCCTAAATACCGATAGCCTTTGACGGTTATGTCATACCTGTGCACGACATCAGTTTCCTTTAAGCGAAACCCTAAGTTTGCCATACATTACTTTTTTGTGCAAACGTGTGCGAAGTGATGGGACCTTCCCAAATTTGTTGATGTCCTTTTTGTGGACCTTCAGCTTCAGGACTGATCATATAGTTGTATATGTGTGGCTCATATCTGGGTAGTGAACGGGATATGACCTGTAGAATGTCAATATGTAACCATATTAATTAAAATCATTTGAAATAAACCAGTTGAAGTTAGATAAACGGAATATCTTCGATTAGATTAATGGTGTATATGTACGTATATGTATATTATAAATTTGGGCCAACTGGGTGGTGAACGGTGTGCGAATGTTGGTTGGAGAGTTTCATGAGCCAATGAGCATGGTGATTTAACTAACACAACATGATACACACTGATGACTTCTTTTTTTTTGCAACGAAAAAATGGACTTTACCCCGAAAATCGGGGCGATCAAACAGGAAAAGAACCAGTGGGCGAAAGCCTGGGTCAATGCCAGAGTCGCAGGGATTGAGGGAATGGGATGATTGTTACTGGTGATTATGGATCATTCCCCCGTTTCCTGCTAAGGACCAGTAAGTAAAGGAGGCTGTGAAAACAAAACCCCTGTGTAGGGGTTTAGTGGGGCTCTTTTTCGGCATCTTGATGGGAAACTGGATAAGATCAGCAATGGTTTGGAAACACGGAAAATTTGGGAGTTAGATATATTTAGATACACATTGAAATAAGCAACAATTTTGGAGATTGAAACTTAGACAACAATCAAAGAAGATGAAAAACCAACAAAGACTGGTTTTTGACGAGAAATATTTGGCATTTAGCCAGCCAAAGTTCAGGTGGATTTGGCTTCCCAAGGGCGTATCACCAACAAGAAGTGGGATCCAGCCAACCAACAACCAAGATATTGGTTGCAACAGGGAATGCCAACCCTGGAGGGCCAAGATGGGGTGACCACCAGAAACAGCGAAAAAGTAAATCTATATAGGGGAAAATAATCCGTTTTATGGTCTGATATCTGCTTCGGGATTCTGATCAAACTAATTCAATTCATTTAATATTATATATATATACAGAATGTCAAACCCGGATTAATAACTCTAGGCTGTTTCATTGGGGGGTCACCGTTCTAGTAACAGAATACCACTATTTGTGGCGGACCCCCCTATTATTTTTAAACCAGGCTTTATGAATCCAAGGTTGACACACATCCAGGGTTCGTATGAAATTATACACCTATTCAACAGCTGTGGACATGTTTTCTCAATGCGAATTTCAGGACCCCCAAATCCAGGCACTTACCCCATATATATATATATATACACCGTACCCATGTATAGAAGCTCTATGGGGATTCGGATATCGCCTCAATTTCTATGGCTTTATATGATGCAGTAGATCCATTTTAGGTACCTGAAATGGCCAGTGACAATGTGATATCCCATCAATATTCCGTTATATCCCCATGTCCATTGATTGTCCATCCCCCCTCCCAGGCTCTTGCAGTTCAAGGATAGCTACGATGGAGAGATAAAAATGGAAATTCCCTTGGTTTCTTCGCCGCACTCGCTCATCTCTCTGTGGTATGTCGCCATATAGTTAGTGCACCTACCTATGTTGTACAATTACATTCATGCATATATATATATATATATACATATATACATATATATATATATATATGTGTGTGTGTGATATATACACATGATATACACGCAAGCATTGTGGCTATATATATATATGTTGATTTATGTATTCATGAAATTGCATACAATAATGCAATATATAAATTTAAGTGGTGTCGAACGGACCTGTAATGCAATGGATGGGGGAGGTAGCAACGTAGGTTTGTATCATATCACGTTGTAGCTATTTGACCTCAAGGCAACACCCTGGATTGAGTCTACCAGGTGGGAGCCAGGTGTGACTTACCCTCAAGCTCATGTGGCATGGGGGAGGTTTGGACAAGAGCAAGTGGACAGGAGCAAGTGGCTCAAGCACGGCTTCAAGGAGAACTGGTCGAAGGTGCTGTACGCGAGAATGAAGGCATGGCACAAGGCTCAGTTCTAGTGAGAGTGCTGGGGCACGCCACAGATGATGTTTACTGCCGGCTGCCTCAGATGCGCACTGCGGTGGATGACTGAAGGGACAGGTAAACAGCTAGCCACCCAAAGGCTTTTATCACGCTTATGAAGTGAGTGCAGTGGACTGCACCATCACCAAGGGAAGACGGACCCTTGTGCACTTGGAGAAGTTCAGAGTGATAGGCCCCAAGGGGTGGAGCAGTAAGGTCCCAGACAGGGCCTTCAAGGGAGTCTATCCTTAGAGGCGTTGACCTTCGGCATCCGGATCTAGCAAGGAAATGGTGAGGCCCTGATGCTGTCCCACTGCCATGAAGAGTCTCAGGCGGGCTCTAGCAGTCAGATTGAGTCCAAGGACAACGGCGTCCGTGTCCGAGAAGATCAAGAGAATGCGGGACAAGCTCAAGAAGCTTGAGAAACAACAGAAGTCCAGGGGGAGTCCCAAGCATCTCCCTGTCAAGAAGAAGGCTAAGGAGAAGCTTAAGAAAAAGAAGACCGAGGCTCCTTTACCCTCGCAAGAACAAAGTGATCAAGGAGAAGAAAAGAAGAAGCATAAAAAGGACAAAGGCAGGGCCAAGAAAGGTCAAGATCATGCAGACAGGCCAATTCGCAAGAGGAAAAAGAAGGAGGCCTCAGACTGATGAGACTGAAGGACCTGAGACGGGCTTTTTGAGTCAAGTCAAACCAACAGGCTCTGATCCCTTACAGCTACCGGCGATCAGGAAGACTCGCCTCGAGGTTGCTGCTGAAGATGAAGCCGCAAGTAGCTCTAGTTTCGGCTGGGCTTTGTCAGAGGACGCAGACAGAATTACCCCGATTGCTGTCAAGTATCTGTTGACAATGATGATGCCACAGCTGGGGAAACAAAATGAATTTGCGCGCCCAGCGCGAGCTTCGGACCCTCATGGTCGCCATGGACCTTTGGGCAAAGAAATCGCTCGCAAGGGCGGCGGATATCATAGTGCAGCGAGTCGTTTCCCTCTTTAGGGATCACGTTTCTACCTTCTTGAAGGCATATCATGGTTTATGTTTCCCGTGAGCTACCAACTGAAACAGTTGAGTCGGCCATACGGACGAAAACCCTAACGGGTAATCAATAGAGATGCTTTTCCGTTCCTGATTGGGGCTCATCTATATCTGGCCTCAGTCAATAGCAACCACGAAGCATTCTGTGAAACAAGAGTGGTGCTGATACATACATACATACATACATACATACATACATGCATACATACAGATACATACAGATACATACAGATACATACAGATACATACAGATACATACAGATACATACAGATACATACAGATACATACATATACATACATATACATACATATACATACATATACATACATATACATATACATACATATACATACATATACATATACATACATATACATACATACATACATACATACATACATACATACATACATACATACATACATACATACATACATACATACATACATACATACATACATACATACACACATACATACATACCTACATACCTACATACGTACATACGTACATACGTACATACGTACATACGTACATACGTACATACGTACATACGTACATACGTACATACGTACATACATACATACATACATACATACACACACATACATACACACATACACACATACACAAATACACACATACACACATACATACATACATGCATACACACATACGTACATGGATGGATAGATAGATAGATAGATAGAGAGAGAGGCATAGATAGATAGATAGATAGACAGAGAGATAGACAGAGAGAGAGGCATAGATAGATAGAAAGACAGATAGATAGATAGACAGATAGATAGATAGATACAGATAGATAGATACAGATAGATAGATACAGATAGATACAGATAGATAGATACAGATAGATAGATACAGATAGATAGATACAGATAGATAGATACAGATAGATAGATACAGATAGATACAGATAGATAGATACAGATAGATACAGATAGATAGATAGACAGATAGACAGATAGATAGACAGATAGATAGATAGATAGATAGATAAATAGATAGACGGATGGATAGATAGATAGATAAATAGATAGATAGATAGATAGATAGACAGATAGAGAGATAGATAGACAGACAGGCAGATAGATAAATAGATAGATAGATATGTGTGTATTATATATATATGTGCGCTGTATGTAGTAGTGCAGGCAGAAAAGTCCTCGGCCATTTGACGAGCTGTGAGAATATTTGGTTTGGATTAAAATTCATGAGTTTTGCCATTGGTCGGGGTTTTCACATGAAAATATTCCTGGGTGCAAGTGGCATGTTCATCACTTATTCAAGTGGTTTGTCCCATATATTCCAATTGGATTCCCAAATTTGTACTGGTTCCAGTGAATCCCCATTGTTGATGGACAAACACACCCGTTTTGACACCCTATGATCTGGGTTTCTTTGACCCAAATGTTTCCCCTTGGTGAGTTGATGGCCATCGCTTCCCGTGCTATGAATGATGGCCATTTTTGTGGGTGTAACTGTTTTAGTTCATGAAACAAACTCAAATGGATCCCAAATGTGTGTGATTTTTTTGGATGCCCCAAAATTCTGACGGTTGATCTGTATGTTTCCCATTAAAATATATTACAAGAACCATAAAAATGATGATTTATGGGCATCCACCTCTTTCAGACACACCCATATTCTGGTTGTAAAACCCCAATTTTTGGGAAATTTTCTGAATGCTCATCAGCAAACCCACAGTTTGGCCACTGAAAAAGACACAAATCTCAGGTGGAAAGCCGGATTTAATGGGAAACTGAGCGCCAACGTGGTTTCATGTGAACTCACGTTCAAACATTATCTGGGTCAAGATGCAAATTACTAGATCAATATTATGAACCATATTTTTTCTTACCTGGTTTCAAAATCAGTGAGATGATACGAAAAAAAAGGCCACATCCAGGTCCAGGGTGACCCAAGGTGACCCAATGGCTGCAGTTTCGAGTGGTCAGATGTGGTTTCCCAGGCCATTGAGTACCCTCTGGTGTCATCAGCTCCATGGTTTGCTGGAAAATCCCCCAGCAATCGTTCGATCATTTTCCCAGTTTTTTGCCCGCACCATGCTTGGCGCGGTCTATTTTCAATTGTTAAATCACCCCTATAAAAGCATGGGCGTTTCCAAAAATATGGGGAAACCCCAAGTCACCATGGGTTTCAATACCAAGATGGACTAGTTTAGAATGATTTGTTGGTACCTCCATGACTTGGGTAAATTTTCCAGACTTGTTGTTAAACCAAGCAGCGGCGTTCTCTGAGGAAATGAAGGTGGGCGACAAAAAATTCGCACGCGTAGGGCTGAAACTGGGCTATCACCTGTCAAAATGAGCGGCAAAATGTGTTCCATCTTTAGAATGATAACATGATAGAAGTAACTATCAAAAATATTCAAACAAGGTGTAAGATTGGGATAACCCCCTATTGACAATTGGAAATTGGAATAACATGGTTTTGCTGACAGTCGGGTGAATCTGTAGGGAAATCATCGGAAATTCTGGGGACATAATAAACTATCATTAGGTTCCTCACATTAACATACATTATCCATGAATAATCCATGAATCATCGACTAATAATCCATAAAAACTATCCATGAATGGCATCCATGCGAATTTTGTTTCTTAATGTACGATTGATTTGGAGTGAAGGTGTTTTTGCTGCTCGTGTCTCACTCAGTGATTTCACTCAGTGGGCCATTTGTACCAGTCCAGACTCTTGCTCCGAAGGGGTGCGGCATGGTCGCATCAGATGGAGTTCAAAATTGAGCATGATTCATGGTGGAAGTTGGGAGTTTCCAATATTGTTTGGAAATATTTGGAACACATTTTTTGTTTTGTTGGCTCATATTCATTGTTGATTGAGATCTACATTTTGTTCCATGATTGTAAGTGGAAATTTTGAGCTTTGATGTTTGATTCCCATTTTTATTGGTCCCATCCACCCAATTCTTGGCTGCAAAATGTAACACAAAAAAAGTACCAGCTGTGACTTTTCCACTCTGCGGGCGGAAATCCAGCCGTTGTGAGATGTGAACAAACACTTTGGGATCTAGCGAATGTTGGAATTGGAGTATCTCCACGAGAGACAATGAATGATGAACCAATGAAATCTAGGTAAACCAATTGGTGAATGACACATAGGTTCTACAACTTCATCAATGTTTTTGGACGTTTTTGCGCAGTGAATAGGGATTGTAGCATGAAAAAATGGTGAACCAATAGTGTGTTGAATTTCCGTGTGTTTTTAACGCACCCTCTGGTAATGACACATGGCTTGCCGGAAAATCGACCATGTTAGTAACTGTTGGTTCGATGATTTTCCCATGTCAATGGAATTTTTTAGTGATTTCCCAGCCGTGTTTGATGACACGGGGAAGTATACACTGCCACTGGAAGTAGTTGTCCCCATTCGGTGGCTTCTTCGACCGAAAAAAATGGACCATAATCCTAGTTACTAACATTTACTAACACTAACCATGATTGGGGTTTTCCCTCAAGTAAGATGGTAAAGCATCCCCAAAATCAGAAAATCAATGGATGTTGATGATTATATAATGGAGGTTTTATATGATGTTGGTAGATGTTGATACATTCATTATCCAAGTTGATGATGTTGTTTGTGAAAGGAGTTAAGTTTCTCACATGGAATCCTTCTGAATCATCCATGAGGAAGTGGTGAGAAATTCCCTGGTGATCGCAGTCGTTATTCGGTGGGTTATTCCACTTATAAACGGATTATAACTCAACTATGGCTTAATAACCACATACATCCACATATTTATAGTAGAGCTTCGGGAATTCACATCTGCTTCTTGATCCATAATTCTTAATCAATCCCCATTCAGTTGGTTATTCCCTTATTAAAAGAATGTTCAGGGCTTGGTAAATGTCACAGTTTGGGGATTTTGAACGTCACTTTCAAGTAATTATCTGTTGGAGATCCCCAAATGTTCAATTAGGACTTACCAACCCCTGTTGTTGTTGGTTCAACCCCCTCGATTGTGTCTTTCACCAAGGCAGCAGCACATATCTTGGACGGCGAGAAGCTGACACCCGATGAAGGCGTCACGGGGTGTTGCTCACACGTCACACGTCGTGGGGAATCTCCCGTTGTTTTTTTCGGGGGGCTCTGGCAATGGGAAATCCCTCACCAATGGATATTTAAATCGGACACTGATCTATAAATATTGGATTTTCCAGCAAGCCATGTTTGATTACCTGAGGGTATCTGATAAAATATATAAAATCTGAGACAATTGAGGTAATACTTCAAATGAATCGAAGTGAAGATTTGAATCCTACGGTCCCTTCACTGAACATGGACCCAGTATTTCTGGGGAGAATCCTGCCAAAAATAAGCAAAGGCTTCCCCCCTATAAAATATAGTTTTAGCCTATATTATCTTCCTGTACATAGAGTCTTGGTTATAGCCGCTAGCCAATGAGAAGAACATTAATTATTTCATATGATTTCCCCAAAATTTAAAAAGGTTGTTGTCGAGTTTATGGATGTGTGGTTCATAGTTAATATGCAAATAGTTTATACATCTTTGCAGTTGGGCTTATCTGTATATTTATGGTGCAAATGAAGGAATTCTCCCCCAGTGTGGGAAACATTCGGCAGTTTCATCATTGTTTGCTAAGAGATCCACATTCAGGTGACCGTGATGGAACCGCAAGGTTGTAGTCAACTGATGATGAAGGGGTGGATGTTTCAATGCCCCGTAAATTATGAAACATTATGATATACTCAAATTGATGCTACATCTGTCTATATGTGTACAATGTAAATACATGAGTTATTCACATCTCATCAATCAGATTTGCGTCAGTTCTTGCGTTTTTAATATCCATAAATATCCATAAATATCCATAGATATCCATACATATCCATACATATCCATAGATATCCATAGATATCCATAGATATCCATAGATATCCATAGATATCCATAGATATCCATAGATATCCATAGATATCCATAGATATCCATACATATCCATAGATATCCATAGATATCCATAGATATCCATAAATATCCATAAATATCCATAAATATCCATAAATATCCATAAATATCCATAAATATCCATACATATCCATAAATATCCATCATGAACTCAAACCTGAGAACAAAAGCCTGTCACCTCAAAAGGCTCAAGGACTTAGACATCGCCAGCCGTCGCAGCCGGCAGAGGGCCCCTGGGTCGGACCGATGGTGTCGCAGCCGACATGGCGTCTTCGGTGCGCGAGGACCGAAAGGGGAGATTTCGAATGTGTTTTCCTTGGGTAATCAATAGCTATGGAAGGTCCATTATAAATGGAGGTTTCTAGCTGGGAAAATCATCTGTAAATGGGTCATATTTCTAGCAATAGAACTATTACCCTCTGGTTATGACTAACAGTTCGCCATGGTCTGTTGAGTCTGTTGATGGCCCTAATCGAAATAGATGGTTTACCGAACTTAAAAATGGTGGATCTTTCCATGGCGAAGTGTTCGTCATAACCAGATGATAGCTGGAACATAATCCATCTTTATGGGGTTTCTTCATGTTTCTTGTTCAAGTGGAACAAGTCGTCCCATAACTTGTGCATTTTTCTGGGGTATCGTCCAGCAAGCCACGTTTGCTGATGGCAAGGGTTGAAACCACCGGATCATTTTGATTCATTTTGTCATTCGTCATGGGGACAGAAGGATGACTTTCTCTGGTTGGTGGTTTCAAACATTTTTTTCCATAATATATGGGATAATCCTTCCCATTGACTAATATTTTTCAGAGGGGTTGAAACCACCAACCAGTTCTTAACTTGAGGCACAAAACGTCTTGTCATGTCTTGTCGAATTCAGTGGGAACTTCAGATATCATTGATCTCATCTACAGATTGTTGAAGCATTGTGATAGTCGCCACCATTTCCCAGGCTGATTACAGATCTCATCCCTACGAGGGCCATGTGGAAACACAGCGCTTTCGATCGTATCGGAGACTGCAGTGTGGCAACGTGCCTGTGACGCTTGGCTGTTGGGTTTAATTGCACATTTGATATAGGTATGGAAAATTGACCATTTATAGATGATCTACCTACTATTGAAAAAACGGTGATTTTCCATAGCTATGTCAAGGTACCAGAGTGTACTCACAGTTTAAATACCGTTAAAAAAATTCGGAGGACCATGGCTACCGTCCCACACTGTCCCCTTCTGTTCCGCTATGATATCATGATTGATCTCATCACCCAGTACTGGACATTTACTATGATAGGGTGCCGCAGAACTTAATGGATTGGATAAAGTTGGTCATACATCCGACTATATATATATACATATGTATATATATATATCACTTTATACCACTATGAGTATCCCAATATCATGGTTAAATCAAAAAACAAAATCCCATATCGATGGTCTTTAATTCATGAAAATGTTAACATATACGGGAAAGTTTCGCTTGTTCCACCCTCCATCTTTGAGCCGGGCTCTGTGGAGCTTGGCTCACAAAGATATGGTGGGAATGGGATTAATATGGATTAACACAATTGACCATACCAAAATTGTTGGTTTCACAGCAAAATCAAGCATGTTTGGGCAATTTTCCATGGTTGGTGGTGACTGGAACCATGGAATTTTATGACTGTCCATTTAGTTGGGAAGAATCATCCCAACTGACGAACTCATATTTTTCAGAGGGGTAGGTATACCACCAACCGGTACAGTTTTTGATGGGTACATTCGAAATTCGTACGATGTTTTGATCTTGGACATAGCCATTTTTTGGAAAGACGTGAAGGTTCCCCTGTCCCCCATCGACTTGGGCATAGTTTGGCACGGGGCATGGGTCATGAAGTTAGGTTCAATAAAAGAAAATTTGGTACAACAACTTGATAGAAGCTTGAACCTCCCAAAAACATATCCAATAATATATCCAACATCTCAAGACATTTTAAAGTCTCCCGAACTTTGCACGGCCACAATGTCCAGCTCGGCCACAAAAAACGCCCAGCTAGATGCTGGCCAGCTGGCCCGTGGCGACAGCTCACTTTGCAACGCTATCCCCAGATATGGCTTACAAAATGGTACGTTTACGTAGCTCCATTTTAGGATCCTGAAATTCCCACTGAGTTATGTTGTAAAAACTCCACCATTTTTGTCCAAAAGGAGTTTATTCCATCCTTGGTGATACCCCAGTTTTCATGATGATTTTTTTTGCCATGGAAAGGTGGATTCATGAAATTCATAACCTCATGCTTGGTCCTAAAATGTTGGCATGGGCCTCCCAAAAAATCTTCCGGGCTAGAATTGCTAGAGAATCCCATGGTCGAATCTTATGGCTTGGCTTTGAACTTTTGACCCAGCCAGCTCTGAGGTTGGCAGATTTGGTGCTAAAAAGTTTGGAAGCCGACGTGATTTGTTACAATGCCGTCATCAGCGCATGTGAGGGAAGCGTGACAGCCTTGACTGCCACGGTGTTGCAAGGGGTAGTGCGATGGGTTGAAGAAGCAGCACGAAGCAAGTGATGGTGCAAGGGGTGACCATCACCTGGACTGTCCGAAAACGGAGGATCGACCATAGACAATTTAAGATGTCCACTTCAAGGAAAGATTACCAACACCAGCTGATCGCTTGAAACGAGCCAATTCTTTAACGAGACTAGATAGATAGCTAGATAATCAACTTTTGGGTTCATAGATGTTCATAGTGGATATTTCAATGATTACCAACACCAGCTGCTCTGCAGATGTTTCATCAACATGTATAAGTGTATAACATTGTATATAGTAATATCGACTCCCTGTGAGTGAACCCCGGGGAAGCCACAGCAAGTTGTAGTCCACCTGGGACACGGCCGGCACGCGGCACGGGGAGCTTTTTCAAAAGTGCCGTGTTTCTGGAAGCTACGGCCGCGGATGGCCAAGTCCCTCTCTTACTGGTGCTTAGTAATTGGGGAATGATCCAGATTAGGCTCTGGATCAAGAATATCAATATCAATAGATACAATCTTTAGAGGATTTTCTACATCTATTGACCTGCTATTTTGATCTATTTTGATGTTGGGTTGTGTTTTGTATAGGTGACCCATCCCCATATAGTAACTCCTCACAATCATCCCAGCAACCCCCAGCAACCCATCCATTCCTTGAATCGGAGCTACATATATCTACCCTCTGGGAAACAAACATAGCTATTGAAAATGACCATTTATAGTGAGTTTTCCGATTAAAAATGGTGATTTTCCATAGTTATGTTAGTTTACCAGAGGGTAACCAAAATAACACCAATGTATGGCACTTTTTGGGGGGTTGTTTTGTTGACATCCCAAAGTGACTCAAAATCTCATGATCGGTATGTGAATTTCACTGTACCAGGCTGAGGTGAAGACTTTCCAAATAATCCCAGTTGTCATAAAGTTTCTGTGGGTCTCTTGTCCATTTCATATCCCATAAAATGCACCTGTTAAAAAGTGTGAACAAGATAATGGTCTGATAGGGAAATGATATGAAATGATTATATACCCTCTGGCAAACTAACATAGCTATTGAAAATGACCATTTATAGTGGATGTTCGCATTGAAAATGGTGATGTTCGATTATGTTAGTTTACCAGAGGGTATATTGATATAGATCAAATAGATCAACCATGGAATTTTCATCAACCATCAACCACTGGGTACTTGACATGGATTTTTGGACAACACGCGGCCGCGGCGTGATGCCTGTGATGCCTGTGGCTCCAGTGGCGACGGCCGCGGCGTGATGTATGTCCAACACGCAGGAGACCAGTGGTGAATGGTGAAAGGTTTGAAGCTTATGGCTGTACCAGCAAAACATTGGGTTACAGCATGTTATAGCCACCCAACAGTACCCAAGAAGTGGGATTATTGTGTGTGTGACATCAAACTTGAGGTTGTTGATTGTTGAAGTTGTCCTGACAATGATTCACATCAGCATCATTAACATCATGGGTACATCATTGGTACATCATGGGTACATCATACATCCCAGTTTGAAGTTCAATCATTACAGTAGTGATCGACCCATCCAGTTGCAGGCGCCAACTCTGTGGGGCCACCCGTTTCTCGACAGAATGACGACCATGGGGACCTTGCAACGCGATGGGAAGAGGTGGTTCTCAGAGTGGAAGAGTTGGCGACGCGAATGGGATCTGTGTAGCTCACTCCAGCAGGTTTGGTGGTTTCACATGTCGTTTTTTTCGAGTTTTCATTCATGCGAGGGTTGGTATCTTTGTATTCATTCAAATTCAGGATTTTTGAATTTGTTTCAATTCGTGTGGAATTACACGTTGCGATCTTTAGTTTTTTTTTAAATATATCGTTGAACTTGGTCAGAAGCTTCGTACTCTGTTTGCCATACTTTGCCCAGGCACATCAAGGCAGTCTGGGATAATTTTTTCGGTGGGTAGTTTGTTGATCATTGGGGGGTCATTAACATTTTACCCTCTGAGCCTCTGGTCAAAGGAAGTTTAGGGGGAGAAACTTCCGTGTTACGGACTTTTAGAATGTCAGGGAAAGAGTTAGTCAAAGAAAGAGTTAGCAAAGAAAGAGTTCGTCAGGGAAAGAGTTAGTGAGGGAAAGAGTTAGTCAAAGAAAGAGTTAGTCAAAGAAACAGTTAGTCAGGGAAAGAGTTAGTCAAAGAAAGAGTTAGTCAGGGAAAATGTCAGGGAAAGAGTTAGTCAAAGAAAGAGTTAGCAAAGAAAGAGTTCGTCAGGGAAAGAGTTAGTGAGGGAAAGAGTTAGTCAAAGAAAGAGTTAGTCAGGGAAAGAGTTAGTCAAAGAAAGAGATAGTGAGGGAAAGAGTTAGTCAAAGAAAGAGTTAGCAAAGAAAGTTAGCAAAGAAAGAGTTAGTCAGGGAAAGAGTTAGTCAAAGAAAGAGTTAGTGAGGGAAAGAGTTAGTCAAAGAAAGAGTTAGCAAAGAAACAGTTAGTCAAAGAAAGAGTTAGAAAGAGTTAGCAAAGAAAGAGTTAGTGAGGGAAAGAGTTAGCAAAGAAACTGTTCCCTCACTGTAAATGGGATTGCAAGTGGTGCTGGTGGAGGAGTTGCCGATGGAGTTTTGACGGAAGTCTCGCACGAAATGCGTTTTTGAGAGATAGCAGATGCACGAAACCCTATGTTTTTCCATACAAAGTCCGTCCCCGAACCTCGATGATCTACCTCTGCGGTGCGACGGGTGCGAGACGGTCTCGTGTGTGGTCGGATCATTCTCGGATCATGGACCATGGTCGGATCATGGTCGGATCGGTTCCGCATTGTAAATGGGGTTTCAAGTGTTTTTCGTGCATGCGCGGTCGACAGAATTCCATTGTGATTTGCAACTGTATAGGATCGTTCCCGCATTGTAAATGGGGTTGCAAGTGGTGCTGGTGGATGAGTTGCCGATGGAATTCCATTGTGATTTGCAACTCTAGGATCGTTCCCTCACTGTAAATGGGATTGCAAGTGGTGCTGGTGGAGGAGTTGCCGATGGAGTTTTGGAGGAAGTCTCGCACGAAATGCGTTTTTGAGAGATAGCAGATGCACGAAAACCTATGTTTTTCCATACAAAGTCCGTCCCCGAACCTCGATGATCTACCTCTGCGGTGCGACGGGTGCGAGACGGTCTCGTGTGTGGTCGGATCATGCTCGGATCATCGGTCTCGGATCGGTTCCGCATTGTAAATGGGGTTTCAACTGTTTTTCGTGCATGTGCGGTCGACAGAATTCCATTGTGATTTGCAACTGTAGGATCGTTCCCGCAATGTAAATGGGATTGCAAGTGGTGCTGGTGGATGAGTTGCCGATGGAATTCCATTGTGATTTGCAACTCTAGGATCGTTCCCTCACTGCAAATGGGATTGCAAGTGGTGCTGGTGGAGGAGTTGCCGATGGAGTTTTGAAGGAAGTCTCGCACGAAATGCGTTTTTGAGAGATAGCAGATGCACGAAAGCCTATGTTTTTCCATACAAAGTCCGTCCCAGAACCTCGATGATCTACCTCTGCGGTGCGACGGTTGCGAGACGGTCTCGTGTGTGGTCGGATCATTCTCGGATCATGCTCGGACCATGGTCGGATCGGTTCCGCATTGTAAATGGGGTTTCAACTGTTTTTCGTGCATGTGCGGTCGACAGAATTCCATTGTGATTTGCAACTGTAGGATCGTTCCCGCATTGTCAATGGGGTTGCAAGTGGTGCTGGTGAATGAGTTGCCGATGGAATTCCATTGTGATTTGCAACTCTAGGATCGTTCCCTCACTGTAAATGGGATTGCAAGTGGTGCTGGTGGAGGAGTTGCCGATGGAGTTTTGAAGGAAGTCTCGCACGAAATGCGTTTTTTTTCTCCATTTTGGCGCTAGTGATTTTCCGTCTAAAAATCCTTTTAAAAAGTGCTTCAAAATCGTCTTTTTTTTCGCTCTGGCGTCGAAATCCGGTTTTGGAGCTACAATTTCCGACGCCGTTGCGCGTAGTTCTATTGTGCTTTGCAACTCAGTCTCTGCAGATCGCATTGGAATGGCTGCGTCAAGGTTGCTTCTTGCTTTGGCTGTATGAAGGCTGGATCTCGTAAATCGTCTTGGACTGGCTGCATGAAGGCTGCGAAATGGATTTGTTAGCAGATTTTCTCCATTTTGGCGCTAGTGTTTTTTTGTTGCACGTAGGTTTAGAGCAGTGTGAAGTGTGGGGCGTGAAGAGTGCAGTGTGAAGTGTGCAGTGTGAAGGAAGCAGTGGGAAGTGAGAAGTGTGAAGTGTGGAGTGTGAAGTTTAAGTTTGGAGTGCGAAGAGCGCAGTGTGAAGTGTGAAGTGTGAGGTTTGGAGTGTGAAGGAAGCAGTGAGAAGAGAGAAGTGTGAAGTGTGGAGTGTGAAGTGTGGACTGTGAAGTGTGGACTGTGAAGTGTGGACTGTGAAGTGTGGAGTGTGAAGTGTGGAGTGTGAAGTTTAAGTTTGGAGTGCGAAGAGCGCAGTGTGAAGTGTGAAGTGTGAGGTTTGGAGTGTGAAGGCAGCAGCGAGAAGTGAGAAGTGTGAAGTGTGGAGTGCGAAGTGTGGAGTGTGAAGTGTGAAGTTTCGAGTGCGAAGAGTGCAGTGTGAAGTGTGGAGTGCGAAGTGTGGAGTGTGAAGACTTTGCTTCGTCTCTCGCTGAAAAAAAAAGCCGCTTGTCGAGGGAAGGACACGGTCGGGACAGGCTGGCGTCGAACTATAGGTCATTTATGTTTGGGAAACTTCCGCCGCCGGCTTGCCCGGGTCTATGTTAAACCTACAAAAAACGATGGAACATCACCATGTTTAATGGGTAAATCAACTATTTCTATGGCCAGTTTTATAGCTATTTTGACATAACCAGAGGGTACTAACATTTTACTAGCAGATTACCATAGATTACCACTATGTGTAGGGGTACATTTACCTCATTAAACATGACTGAGTGACATTTTGTTGGTATGGCTTCACCAAGTCTCACCCAGGTACACCCAGGTAAGCTGGAGCAGTTGCACATCAGTTGCACATAGTCCTTGTTTCTCCTTGTTTCTCTTGTCAGTTTGACAACTACAATGACGGGCCCTCGGTGTTAGAATTGGACCATTGCATGGGTTACAAAATCATCCTAGTGGCCTGGTGACCCATTTGCAATTTACACCTGGTAGGTATAGCCCATCACTATATCTCAGTTGGGGATGTCTAAGGCAAGTCTCTGTGATCACTTACAACAAAGCAATCAGTGCCTGGCAGAAGAAGCGACATTGGCAACAAACCCTGAACGTCCTGTTCTCTGGCCTGATGATGGACTAATTCCAGAAGGATATGGAGAGCGATAATAACCCCTTTGAAGGGTATGTCATACTTGTGCACATACATCATTTTCTTTTCAGCGATACCCCCTCAATTTTGCCATGCATCATGTTTGTGCCAATGTGAGGTAAGCGACGGGACCTTCTTCCCTCTCTGAAATGGAAAATGGAACTGCTGCAATTGTAAAGATTACTGTTGGAAATTGCATGTGACTTTTTGTCTTCCATTTTGGATGATACTCAATCTTTTTGATGAGTGTATACTTCCAATTTTGCGTGTGATAAAATCCACGCTGAATGGTGGTTTGCGGTTGACTTTTCGAATTTCACGAAAAAAAAGGGGCAACGAATGGCAATGATATGTATGTTCAAAATTATTCAAACATCATGAGCCAATCTCTAGGAGTCATCCTCTGGCCAAATCCCTATTTTTGTTTTGGGGGGATGGGTAGCTCCACAAGTCACCTAGGGAATTGCCGAAAAAATTCTCAGGACTCAACTTCAGCGGCATCCTTGGCTGCAGCCGGATGTCATCTCCTACAATGCAGCCATCAGCGGCTGCGAAAAGGCGTCTGACTGGCGAAGGGCCTTACGATTCTTTCAGGAGGGGATGGGGCGAAAAAAAAATTCAGGGAACACGCAGAAACCTCCGATCATGGAAAAAAGACAAAAAAGAAAGAGATCCGAAAATAAACCAAAGTATTTTAGGACGGGATATTTAAATGATATTTAATATAAGGAAGGGATTATGAGGTTAAGATGTTTAGTTTGACGCCGCGACAAGAGATGTTGATCAGCAAAGAGGGCAGGCACTCCCCCAGAAGATGGAATGTCGACCCAGAATATATCAAGCCCCGCTGTAAACTACAAAATGGGTGTGTGCAATAAACGAATAGATTGTTTCATTGTTATCTTGGGGGCCTAACAAAACTGGGTTGACATCGGAAAACTATGTTGAGATTGACACAATCCTGGTTGGCTATCACTATGTTCATTGATTATCACTATGTTATCACTATGTTCGCTAATCCTTCAAGACATAGTGATAGCAAGTGGTCCCAGGATTAGGTAACAGTAACCATAGTAAACCATTGGTTACTGTCATTCAACTACTAGTGGTAACTGTTATTCAACTATAATCACTAAATTACATGATAGTAACCATTATGGAAACCTTTTCGTAACGAACCATTGGTTGGTTATTGTTACTGCAATCATATGTAATATGCCATTGTTACTGGTATAGTTATTGTTTTTTCAACCAAAAATGTTGAATTTCATAGTAACCATAGTGATGGGACCATTGGTTTTGTTACTATTATGAGCCATAATTAACCATAAATAATTAACCGTATCACTATAGTAACTGGTTATCACCATAATTAACCAAAAAAATCACTATGGTTACTATGAACTACTATGAACTATAGCATTAAGAACCAATTATGAACCATAATTAACCATATTAATCACTATGGTTACTGTTATTCAACTAACCAATGGTTCCAGGAGGTGGTCGATCTGTTGCAACCGACCGTGGTGACGTACAGTGCCAGTAACTTGGAATGTCGTCGACTGGCCGTTCGGAAAAATGGGTGTGTCTGAAAATGGAAAAAATAATGTTAACTGGGATGATACCATATTACTGGGCAAATTATAACGACCTCACTGCGACCTCACTGGGAATCAGGGTTAATAAGGGGAATCATCCCCAAATGGCATTAATTCAGGTTAGTGAAATATTATAATTTACCCAGATATTAACATTAAAATGGTATTAAGAAATGTTCATATACCCATGGTACCCATATGACTATATTGATCATGTTCGAAGACATGTTCATGGTACCCTGGTTAGTCATAGTACCACTCGTTCATCAAAATCCATTCAATCCACTGGTTTTCCACTCACCATGTTCCCTATGAAAATGGCATATCTCACATGGCCAATCCACTGGGGGATTGTTCCATTTTCAGACCCCAAAATAATTTGGAACAATCTCCCAAAACCATCTCCCAAAATGTGGAACATTTCCCCAGAAACCATGGGAAAATAACAATGGGATGAAAACACATATATATTTGGGACATCTTGGAACCATTTCGGGAGTGGTTCAAAAAGATGATGTTACCATCTGGTTATTTAACATAGCCATGGTATAGATGGCCCATTTACAGATGGTTTACCGAACTTAAAAATGGTGATTTTCCATGGCGAACTGTTAAATAACCAGATGTTAGTCAAATATTAGGGTCCCAATCAAAAAACTCCTATTTATGGTCCATCCTAATCATATTTGGGACCTCATATAAAAATGGGGGGATGGGAAAAATAAGTTGGTGCACCTTTGTGAAATGATCATCATCGGCGAGATAGATCCACAGATCCAGCTACTGAGATGGTTACCCTCTGTTAATGTGACGTAGCTATGGAAAAGTTCTGAAATCTATAGATAAATTACATTAATTCCCTACAAGATGGGGCCCCCAAGATAGCTAAGTTGCCTTATAAGTGGCTTTATGGTAGATATAACTATAGTTACTGGGGATTATAATGGTTTATAAACCAACTTATAACTGGGGGGCCCCACCCTGTACTGAGCAGGATGATTTTCCAACAAAAAACCATCAAATGACCCAATGGTTAAAAGATGTCAAAACAATCCCCATGGTGAAACCATGGGTGAAATCCCTAAAATCCCAATATTTTCCATGGTAAAACTCATCAAAACCAGGGTAAAGCCGCCTTTTCATTGTCCGAAAGCAAGGTATCAGTGCCTGCGAAAAGACTTCGCGATGGCAGGAAGCAGCGGCACTTCTGGAGCTGGCGGAGCTGCTTGCAACCTACAGTAACCATTGTACTAATGGTAATATGGTAATATGTAATATGGTAATACTGTATGTACATATGGTTAAATGTACTCTAACCAGTCTAATATTCCCAATGGCTAAATTTTAGAGTACATTTAACCATGGTAATATGGTAAATATCATAATGGTAAAGATATGTAGTAACCATTGTACTAATGGTAAAATGTCCTATCTTTGCCATCAATGGTAAATGGTAAAATTACATTTACCAGTACTAATGGTTGCTATAAATGGTTAGATACTTTAGTACCATTAGATACATGTTTAATCTTTGCTATCAATGGATATCAATGGTAAAATGTCCGAATCAACTAAAAAACTCGATTTGTTTAGCAGGTATCCAAGATTCACCATGATGGTGGTCAATAATCATTGTACATATGGTTCAATCATGAAACCAATGGCTATAACGGCTATCATGTTTATAAACCACTATCAATGGTTATATGATATGTTACATAGATGGCTTGAATCAATGATTGATCAGTGATTATTGACCATTGTGGATGATTATTACTAGATATAATTATTGGTGTTGAATGTTGGCTATAGAATATCGGTTTAACATGATCAAACATGGTTTATACTGAGACATACTGGTTAATAATATTATTTATAACATCATTAAACATATAATGATCATATAAACATTATATGCTGAAACATACTGAAGAATGGAACTGCTGGGATTTTCAAGATGCCAATTTGTGGTGATTTTTCAGAATCTTTCATTGGGATGATTTACAGGAATTGCAACAGCTGGTTATGTCAAAATAGCGAAAATGGCCCAGGCGAAATAGTTGATTTAGCCATGAAACATGATGATTTTCCAGTTAGCTATCTTAGTTTACCAGAGGGTATATATATATATAGACGTGGATTTCTTACAATGGGGGAATATGGGGGATCCCCCAAAAACCATGGTTGTTTCAATACTAAGTCATGGTCATCCATTTTTCCGACTGGATGGTACCGCCATTCCAGCCGCCATTTCAGGACACCTCGGGGCAATCCAGTGATGAAAAATGCTGGAATTGACCAACAAATGTGTCGTTACCCTCTGCTAAACATACAAAAAACTATGGAAAATCACCATTTTTAATGGGAAAATCCACTATAACTTGCAATTTTCAATAGCTATGTTAAATTACCAGAGGGTAAATCTGAAAATGGGGCCGGTATAGCTCCAAATTGTAATGTTCCTAGAAACCATTGTGATTCATCACTGGATTTCGGCCTATGGTTCCTAGTTTCAGGCCAAATAATACCTGCTGTTAGAAATAGTGAGGAATTGCCCAGACAATATGATCGAAATGGAACAAAGGTTGGGGCCGCTAGGACCAAAAGAACATAGTTCAGCTTGTTTGTGAAACTATGATGATCGAAACTGTGACTTTGGCCGCTTGGTGCCTGAAGTTTTCGTCCATCCCGCAAACATGTGGGAAAACCAACAGATTGGGATGAAGAAATATTGAAACAGAGCAAAAGATAGGCATCCAAATGAAGCTGATAGTATGAGAGATAGTATGAGAAGCAAGAACAGTGATTCAGCCCATCCCAACAAAAAAAAATGTGTTCTTTTTCTCCATAGGTTTGTGTCCCAGAATTTCCATGTCCACCTTGTGGGGGTCTTATCCCATGGCCATGATTTCAACGCTACCTTTTCTTACATAGCTATTGCTAGCTGCTATGTCATATTTCTGGGTTTCCCATGGTTTAGTTACTTCAATTCCCATGGTTTAATCCCACGAAATCCAAGCTGTCCATGCTTTTCCATTGCTAAGATTATCAGTTTGGTAGCCCGTTTGAGTCCTTGGTTTTTCCCCTTGAGGTTGGCTTTAGAGGACGGCCCTGACGTCTATACCTACAGTGCTTGCATCAGCGCTTTTGAAAAAGCCGGCAGATGGCAGGAGACCCCGGGTCACCTGGGTCAGTAGATATCCTCCGGTCATTCCATAGCTATGTAACACAGGCATCCAGAGGCTAATAATGCAACCGTTGATGGGTACGAATAAATATTTATAAACATGAATATGTTGTTGTTGTTTTCTTATTTTTCTATTTTGATCGGGATATAGTTAGCCAAGCAGCTCTGATCAATTTTTTGCAGAGTTATCTAAGATTAGCCATGAACACAGAGGCTGAAATGGGCTTGATTATATTTGGGTCGAAACTTGCTGTCCCCATATCAGATCCGAATTATTATGTATACCCAAATATTCCCAAATATTCCCATATATTCCCTTGGTCATGGCACAAACACTTGCGGGCGCAGTTGAGGCTACAAATAGATATAATATGACTATGAGACCATGAACCCCATAAGTTGGGATATCAGGTGCCGGAACAGGATGATTTCAACCCTGAAAAATTAAGGTTGACAGGGCTGGGTATTTGTTGTAAGTCTAAAGTCAAAACTGGTGTTTGTGTTGCCTGTAATTTTGAGAGAATACAACACAACACATTGCTTCATCATGGATGTGGCCTGGTGCGCTTCTATTCCAGCGGCCTTGGTTTGTGGTTTCAAATAGGTTTTCATGTTTGATCGAAATGTATATGATTTTGAGTCCAGTTGACAGTGACTACAAAACGCAGTATTTTTTTGGAAAGGGTAGCTCAACCACGAACCAGCACCAATAATTGCTCACTGAATCTAATCCAATCCGATTCATATATCAATTCATGCATACTGCATACTCCATTGATTCACATCCATATCCATATTCATATTCCTATCAATCATGTCCATATCCTTTCCATTTCGCAGTTCTATCCCTTCTCCCTTCTCCCTTCTCCCTATAGGTTCACCCCAAGCGAAAGCCTGGTCCTGTTTGGATCCCAAATTTTTTCTCGGGCACTGAAGAAGTGAGCAGTGGCTGCCAAACTCCTGTTGATGATTAGTTCGGGGATAGAAAACTACCAAAAAAAATTGAGGGTTGCTTTTTAGAATCCAAGAGTCCGGGGAAAATCCGGGGGAATCCCTATTAATAACCATTATCCATTATCCATGATCATTAAGAGGTTGGGGATTCGGGATGATGATTAACCAGCCATTACAATAATCCAAGAGGGGGGGATCCAGGGGGAATCCCTATTGACCAACGATGGAATAACAGAGGGGTTTTGAACACTGCTCAAGTGATAAAAACTTCGGCAGTGTTTCCATAGCCCGCAACAAAAAAGGTGCCCTTCTATTCATGTCTTTGAAGTAATGTGGTAAACCCAATGCCATAAACCTACCATTTGGGATGCTTTCAATCAATCCCAGCCAGTTGGGTATGGGTCAAAAGTATCAACCCAAAAAATGGATAGTTCAACACTAAGAATGGTTCATTCTGCGGGTCCATTGTACCACAATTCTGAAGATCACTCATTTATGGTAAGTCATTGGGGGTTGTTTCTAATGTTGGTAAAACAATGTCATAAACCATCCCCCAGTCATCACCATGTTTATAGGTGGTATAAACTTACCATGCCCAGTCATGGCTGGTAAAAATGGCATTGCTTTACCTTCCCCATTCCTTTTACCACCACAAGAAACTCCACGTCGCCTGGCTATGGCCGTCTTACGCAGGAAGCTCTGGGAATTCTGGAAGAGATGAAGCGACGTTCAGGGCTGCCCAACCTCGTCACATTTAACGCCACGATCAGCGCTTGTCCCATGATCCGAAGAGATTGGACATGGCTCAGATGTTCCCAACACTGCAAAAAATATGACATATGGCTTATGACATATAGTATTCAATGAACCAAAAAATCCATGAAAATTGAGCTGCCCACTTTTTTTTTGCTTATTGACCCTTCAACTGGTGTAGATGAACCATGACCCAGTCGCAGGTCAGAAAGGAGGTGAATGGGAACAAGCTCTATTTATCCTGAAAGCCCTGCAGAGAGAGACACTGGGATTTCGAATTGTCGGATCTTGTTCCCAACGAGTCGAGTTCTGGAATTTTGTGTTTCAGGAAACACTAAAAAAGGATGGCGTTTATTGGGAGATTATAGGTGTTTTTCATAAACCAAGCATTCCTACTTTTATGAAACACCTAAAGAAAATCCATGAGTATCCTATAATTATTCATGGTAAAAACACATTTATATATAGGTAATATAGGCGTTTTTTCCGCATATATGCTCGTCCTTTTTTGCAGATTCCAAGGTGTGTTCTGTTTTGTTTTTTTCCGCTAAATCAATTCATCCCCGATTCTTAACGGTGACGAAAAACCGAAAAATCAGGTATTGTGAATATGGTTTCACCCGATCATCATTTGTTTGATCTACTTTTCTTCCAATCCCATTCATGCAAAATGGTGAAGTAGTGCTTCAAGTTGGTCCAGAAACCCGAGAAATCCAAATCTACAGAGGGCCTTCTCTCAATTTGTGAGCCCAAAGTCGAGCAAATCCAAAATGAACCAGCATCCTCAAAAGCACCAACCCCAAAAACTGGAGGAATCCAAAATTGGTGAAATCCAGAACCACCAAAGCCGCAGGGGTTTAGTGCCTGATCTCATCACCTATGGTTCCGCCATCAGTGCCTGTGAAAGCTGCGGTCAATGGGAGCTGGGATGTTTTTTGATGATGCAGCTGGGGAAGCAGCGACTTCAAACGGACCTCATTACCTACAACGCAACTTGGAGGCATCAAGGTTTTAGTGGCGGATGAGATGTGACTTTTGTGTGGTACATGTAATGGATAAATCATGACTACCAGTGGATTGCCAGTGAAAGATTTTGGATTGAGAAACCATGGAAGGATTGAATGTAACCTGGTAAACCCTTCGGCCATGGACCTTGGTTTTCGATAGCATTTGGAGGCTCATGAGACCCTCAATGGCTGGTTTTTGGGTTTATGGTAATATTCCAAACATATTCCGACATCACTTTCAATAAGTCCCCTGTATCCTAATATCCTAATGTGATTTGTCATGAAGTATGGCTAATTAAACCTGTTACATCTCGCTTGAGCCTCAAGGTGGGTTTAATAATGAGCCTCGAGGGCATGAGTCCAAGCAGTTTCTGTTTAACACATTTGGGCCGATTTTGACCAAACCCATTCCTACAGTGGATGGAAGAAATCTTGCACCAGATGATAGATGATGTATCCCATTATTTAAGGGGTTTCTACCATCCTTTTGGTGGTGCAGGATTTCGCTGGCCCATCCACAGTATCATACATCTTCCCCATTATTTATTTACCATTCAAAAATTAGCCACTATTAACAATTATTAGCCATTATTGACCATGATTCACCACTATTAACCACTATTAACCTCTATTTTGCACCACACTTTGCAGTGCCATGGCCTTTCAGGGCTGAAGTAAGAACATGCCAAAATAGCCTTCCAAATCCCATCAGATCCAGTTGCAGTTTATCCTCTGGTTATCCATGGGAAATCCACTTTAAACAGGGGTTGGTAACTGTCCCATTTTGGGAATATTGGACATCACCTTATAGTAGCCACTATAGACCATATACCTAATGGTTGTGTGATGTTCAATGGGGACATTTAATGATCCATGTTAAATAGAGGTGTTCATATGTTTTAATGAGAAAATCAACGGTAAATGTGGGGTTTTCCAGCAATCCATATATCTGGGTAAATTATAACGACCTCACTGCGACCTCACTTGGAATCATGGTTAATAAGGGAAATCATTCCCAAATGGCCTTAATTCAGGTTGGTGAAATATTATAATTTACCCAGATATATATGTCATATTCCACTAATTTTCATTAGAATCATTACAATCCAGCAGTTCGACCCTGAGAACGGCCCAAGAGGGAAGTAGTCTTCCAATCCCGATTTGACAGGGTCTATCTTTACTAAGGGGGGGCAATTCGTATTCCGATCGAGCAATGAAATGTCCTCTATATATACTGGTTGGTGGATTGGAGCATTTTTTCATATATTGGGAATGTCATCATCCCAACTGACGAAGTCATATTTTTCAAAGGGGTCGGTATACCACTAACCAGTTAGTAAGATCATTAACCATCAATATCCCATTTTCATATTCCCCATGGTTAAACCATTAAAATCCTAGTCATGATGGCTAATCATATATATTCCAATGTACATCTTCCAATCTAGCGCACCGATCCAGGCGTTGCTGAGCACCTTGGAAAAAGCCTCGCGCTGGGCGGAAGCTTTAGATCTGCTGGGCGCTCGCGAGCTTCGCACGGATGTGATCTCCTATAGCGCGGTCATCAGCGCATTGGAAGCGTGGCGTGTTGCCGCGGGTTGGGCTTGTCTTGAAAGTCCTGGGGAGGGGGGGAACTCTTTAGTGGGTCTAACATGGTCTAACTATGCTAATAAATTGACACAAGCTTAATAGCTGTATAACAGCGAGCACGATCTAGAGCACGATTTTTTGCACGAAGGAAAGCACCGAAAAGCACGATTTTGTGCACGAAGGAAAACACTCAAAACAACGTTCGCCCAAAATATAAAGAAATCCTTTTTTTGACTGTCACAGCTATTAGGACGGACTCAACTAATAAAATTCAACTGCAAGTTGGGATATAACCCACACATCGCCATGGTTTTTTGAATTGAAACTGCAAACCCTAAGAACCCTTGGTGAATGGTGGGTGAAGTAGGGAATCAATGGCAATCAGGATGTTTAAATCTACCAGTCAATAGTTTAAGTTGAAATCCTACCCATTTCTGTAAAATTGCCGGTGCTTTATTCCTGGGTTTACCACGTAGCTGTAAGTGGGGTGTTGAAACGCAGTGGTTGCGATGGTTGGGTCTACAAAAAGACATTGTGCCCAAAATGACCTGCTGATGTCAATGCATAATGTCTCATCCCCCATTTGTCGGTAAAAAGTAAGTTCCTTAACTTATGGGTCAATAGCAAATAACCAACAATAAAAATATTGGAACTTGCAATTGACCCATGAAGAAAAATATTGGAACTTACATAACCCCGGAAATTGGGTTGTCAAGGGTGCACTTCCAAAAAAGAATAAAAGCTGCAAGAGCACGACGCATCTAGGCCAGCCCCATCACCAAGGTGGCTTAAGACTCCAGCAAATCCCAACATGACCATATATATAATTATATATATATATATGTATGCATATATATATTATTATTGATGATGATGATGATGACGACGACGACGATGACGATGACGATGACGATGACGATGATGATGATGATGATGAGGTGAGGACGAGGATGAGTTCGTGTCTATTTTTGCGATGTAAACTACAGGGCCCCAGGGTGAAATGACCAATTCCCAGTTCAGCGGGTACCACTCATAATGAACGAATCATTTCTTCAAAATCGCCGAAGACTTGAGGAGAAAGGCCAGAAATGGGAAGTGGCATTGCAACTGCTCACACACGTTCGGGATGTCTTTCGGAATGTCGACGTGGTGATTTACAATGCCACAATCAGTACCTTGGCAGGTTTGTGTCTTCGTTTTTGAACCAAGCAAAACAGGAAAGGTCGGTCATTTTTGACTTGTTTACCACCAGTCAACTGCCATGGTGATGGTAATTGTAATGACAATTTGGTTTGGATGTTTGTCAATAATAATGATAATATTTATAATCGAACAATGCTCTAATAGTGCAACTGCCATTCATATCATTCATTAATAGTGTTCCCATTTTTCCTCTTCAACGTGGGATTTCACACGTTCGTATTGCTTCCCGTATTGGTTCCAACTAGTTGGATTTTCCGTGTTGAGGATGCCCAATCTTTGGTCGTCCAGAGCATTGGTCATCCCAGCGTGTCCTGGATAATCCCTTCCCAGAAAGGGATGAAATGGGGCTGATTATCCTTCTGATATGATATATTCCCCCTATACTGTCCACAGGGATAATCCTTCCTGTCAACTTACATCATGTGAGTCAGAATGGGACTAATTCAGATGAACGGGGGATAGGATTAAATGTCAGATGTACACTCAGCAGTTTTCCAAGGCGCTTGAGCTGACTTTGGGGTTTTGGGGATACGACAAGAAATGAACTGGTAGTGCAAAACGGCAATGATAGGAACCCAACCTCAGCCAACAAAAACAACCTGAAACAAGCGACCAGAAGTGATTTTTTCCACGGCAATGGAAGATGTGGACTTCTAGCCATGGTTCCATGGTTTCTTTTGGAGAACAAGTAACCCACCTGAACTTCACTAGACATACCAAACCACCCAAGCCCAGGCCACTCAGCCAACTGAAGCCATCAGCCAAATTCAGGTGCATGTGAGAAAGCTACCGCCTGGGTTGCTGCTCTTATTCTTCTGCAGGAGGTGGCATAACTGTTGAGGGAGGTTTGTTTTTAATGATTTTAATGGGGATGGTTGATGAATATGGATTCTTGAAGCACTTACCACAGGAATAACCAAATACACACCATTAAGATGAACCAATAGACCGTAAGAACTTTTGACTCAGGATCTGATCCGTTATGATCTGAAAAAACCATCCGGTGTCATCAAACGTGACTTGCGTTATGAATGGTCGAAACTTGGATTTTTGTTTGGAACGAGACGTCGCGCCCGGCATTTTATACCCATGGTCATTAATTCATAATAACAACAATAACACTAATAATAATAAATATGATGATAATGATAACAACAGCACTAACAATAATAACTATAATATATATATATATATGTGATATTATATTTTATATTTTATACTATATATTATATTTATATTATATTATATTAAATATGTTATATTTTTTCATTATATTTGTTATACTATATTTCATATTATATTTTATTATATTTCGTTTTTTATTATGTTTTAAATTATATGTGTATATATATACATATGCATATACACACACTGTTATATACCCATTGCAAGGATTCCAATTGTATATGGGAACCATGGCACATATATATATAATATACATACATATATGTATATATAATATACATACATATATGTATATATAATATACATATATATATACTTATATAATATCATATGTACATAAGCTAGTAGCTGCTAAAATTGCCCAGCCATGGGATGGCAGAGAATGCAATGATGATCCCAGCTGATGGTAATTGAATGATGGGGATATCAATCCCCCATCCAATTGAAACATGGGATTACCCATAAAAATAGTTGATTTGCCCATGAAAAATGGTGATTTTCCATAGTTATGTTAGTTTACCAGAGGCTACCTTTCACATCCTTTCACATGGGATTGAAAGTTCCAATTGCAATATCTCCAAGATGAGATTTGTGGGATTGAAGTCCCGGCTGGTTTTTCCCCAAGCATAACCCGCCTCAGATGGCTAAGCCGTCCACTTGCTGCAGGGATGAGGATCCCCAAATATCGAGATGTTGACGGATGTGGCTCCACCTTAATGGTTCCATTGTGAGGAACAGATGGTTTTTGAACCAATCTCATCCCCATCTCATTGAACTGACATTTTACAAGGTACGTTTACCACAATTCTTATTGAAAAAGATGGCCCACATACGGAATAACATGCTCACCTGCCATGGTCAATCCAAGATTTCCCTGCAATGAAGATATCTTTGAGCTGGTTAATATTTTTTTGTGGCTCAAAAATCAGCCGTTGAGCTACACCAAAAATTCACCCATGATGATCATGATGGATCATATGCTTTTGTCTGGAAATCCCATAATCAAAGACATCTGGTATTTTTCAACCTGAAGGAAATCCAGCCCTTTTCGTTCCCCGCGGGGGCCAGCCTCGGCGTCCAGGTCGCGATGGCTCGGCTGCAGCGTACCTTGATCGGCTACACCGCGGCCAGCAGCGCCGTGGCCAAAGCCATGCAGTGGCAACAGGCGTTGCAGCTGCTGGATGACCATGACGCTTGGTGTTTTTCTGGTGGTTAAACATGTTCGCCCCAACCCGGACGTTGCTCCACACTTATACTCGGCATGATCATGATCATGATCATGATCATCATCATCATCATCATCACCACAAAAAATTGTGCCACCCCCTCTGAACAATATGTTGACTGGGGTAATAACATCAACTTATCCTCATGAGGGGTCAAAATTTGCCCCCCTCTTCTGAAGAATTTGTTGTTTGGGGTAATAACATCAACTATATCTCCATGAGGGATCAAAATTCGCCACCCCCTATGAACAATATGTTGGTTGGGGTAATAACATCAACTTTATCTTCATGAGGGGTCAAAGGTCGCCACCCCCTATGAACAATATGTTGATTGGGGTAAAAACATCAACTTTATCTTCATAAGGGATCAACATTCGCAACCCCCTATGAACAATATGTTGATTGGGGCAATAACATCAACTTTTTTCCTTCATAGCCACCTGAAGTCAGACGCGGCGCAACGTCAGGGTTGCAGCGAACATGTTATTACATATTTTTGGTGGTCAGTATCATTGTACCATTGCTGATGATTTTTTTTGGTTAAGTTTTTGGTGGTTATTATGTAGAATGGTACTAATATAACTACAGTAAGGGAGCGGTGGTCAGCAGGAGCGCAGAGAATGTGAAGGGTAATTTTTCCTAGTTTGTACTTTGTTTTTTCTGTTTCGTGATACGTTGTCTTTACGCGCGCTTTGCTGGTTCAGTTCCGGCCTTCTTCCATTTCCTTTCCTTAGGCCATGATTGCAACTGCTGTGCTTTTCCAACTCCCTTCCTTAGGCATGATTGCAATTCCTGTGTTTTTCCATCTCCCTTTCTTGGGCGTGATTGAAAATGCTGTGTTTTTCCAGTTCCCTTTCCCGGGCGGAATTGAAAATGCTATGTTTTTCCAGTTCCTTTCCCGGGTGTGATTGAAAATGCGGTGTTTTTCCAGTTCCCTTTCCCAGGCGTGATTGAAAACGTTGTGTTTTTCCAGTTCCTTTTCTTCAGCGTGTACGAAATCCTGTGTTTTTCCAGTTTCCTTTCTGTTTCCCAGTTCCCTTCCAGTTCCCTCCCAGTTCCCTTCCCAGTTCCCTTCGCGGATTCCCTGTGTTACTTTCCAAAGTGCAATTTTTTTTCCTTTAAAGAAGAAAACATTTTTGGTTTTTTATTAAAAAAAAAGTTGCAACGCACTTTCCTTGGAAAAACACAAGGAATCCGCGAAGGGAACTGGAAAGGGAACTGGGAAGGGGATTGGAAGGGAACTGGGAAAGAGAAAGGGAACTGGAAAAACACAGGACTTCATACACGCTGAAGAAAAGGAACTGGAAAAATACAGCGTTTTCAATCATGCCCGGGAAAGGGAACTGGAAAAACACAACGTTTTCAATCACGCCTGGGAAAGGGAACTGGAAAAACACCGCATTTTCAATCACACCCGGGAAAGGGAACTGGAAAAACATAGCATTTTCAATTCCGCCCGGGAAAGGGAACTGGAAAAACACGGCGTTTTCAATCACGCCCAAGAAAGGGAACTGGAAAAACACGGCAGTTGCAAGCACGGCCGGTGGGAATTGAAAAAGCACAGCATGTGGGAGGACCTTCGCGACACGGCCAGCTGAAGTGGGTTTTATCATCCACCGTTATATGGCCATAATTATCATGTGATGACTTATTTATTGAAAAACGACAGGTGTCTTGTCAATGCAAAGAAATGGAAGAAATAAAGCTATTGAGGGATACATGGTGGGTCTCATCATCCACTTTTGTGGAGTTGTGACCGGCTCTGCTTTTCATTCATGGGGTGACTTCTTTGCTTAAAAACAACAGGTGGTGACAGGTTGTGTATTGTCAATGCATAGCTGTGGAAGAAATTAATACATCGAGGATTCATGATGAGCCTTATCATTCACCTTTGTGGCGTTGTCACTGGGCTTGCTTTTAGACTCATTGTGACACTTTGGGAAAATATATTTTGTGAGTTCTTAGAAAAAAACATATGCCAGAAAAAATGCAAAACCATGATGAGAAAGTAAACGCGTGAGACAGTAGATGGACAAATGATTCAAACCCCGCATCCATGAGTTGTAGACTACCCCCTGTGCCCCAAAATTTCAACGTTATGGTTTCGTATCTTTGTTCCTGATCTTAGGGCTTGATTTATTTCGTCCATTCGAAGGAGCGAAGCAAACAAAAAAAACAACATTGTAATTGGGGGTGCGGGGGGTTATTGGATTACAAGGGTTTGAATAATTCGTCCATCTACGGTATGTTTTTAAGTTATAAAGTGGACATTGGTGGTATAGACAATGGACAATGGTGGTATAGACAATGGACAATGGTGGTATAGACAATGGTATATGGTATTGAGATATCGATTTATGATAGATGGTACTTAGATAGTCTTTGGTATCTAAGATAGTGGTATGAAGTTGGTATTTAAAAAAAGACTATGGAAAAATATTGAAAACTAAGTACCATTGGTATACATAACGGTTGTTAAACCACCAATAGTATGAAAACATATTGAAAAATGATGGTTTAACTAAGTACCACCGGTGCTATATAAATGATTTCACCCAAAAAAACATTGGGACTTGAGCAGGAAAACTAACGTCAATTTGGATTTGAACCCAGAACCAACATGCGAAAAAGGCTTAGAAGATATAGGGAGAAGTATGAACAAGTATATTTAGACGTTAGCCAATAGCAGCTAGCAATATTCCATAGGTTTCCAGTTTTGGTGGTCCCATTGTGGTTTTCACAGATTGTGCTAATACAGGGAAAACCAGTCCAAAATGGGCCATTTTGGTGTCCTGTTGGTGTGCAAATCTACAAGGTTCCTCATTATTGGTCAGTGGTTCCTTGGTTTGAGTGAAACATGCGAACCTCAGCAGACAATGTCTCCATGAATGATGGTTCAGTCTACCAGGTCCCGTATTTTGGCCCACCGTTCAAGTTCCATAACCTGTCAAGATATGTGCAGGAGCTGTTTGGGATTGTTCCATTTGTTGGGTTTCTAATCAAACTCAATCGAACGTCAAAGTACAATTCACAAAACGGTTTGCAATGTTCAAGAACAAAATTCTTGGATGCGGGTTCTTTTTCAGGATGTGTGGAACATGTGATTCAAGATGGCCAGCAGTGAAATCTCCACAAATTCAAGAGGAAATGATAGAGTCACTTTATTGTACAGTATCAACATGAAGTTCTATGGCTATGACAAGTGTAGGGAGTTTTCCTGCAAGAGTGGCACCTTGCTGTTTGACACTTACATTGTTGGGTAAACCCTGGTTGAGTAGTTTAATACGTCAATCCTTTGCCATAAGTGGGGATATACAGTGCCCAGTTTAAAAAAACGGGTAGAATCATGTGGAATATCTAAAGGTTCGCCATGATTGGGCTAGAGGACTACTGTTTTTGCGTCATTCTCTCAGGAGCGGGACGGCTTGGAACCAACAGTTTCATGGCAGCCAGTGGGGCTGAAGATTCGAGGAAGTGGAAGTGGTTGATGCCTGGTGTTAACATCTTAGTTACCCTCTGGTAAACAAACATAGCCTAAGCTATTGAAAATGGCCATTTATAGTGGATTTACCCATTAAAAATGGTGATTTTCCATAGTTATGTTAGTTTACCGGAGGGTAACATCTTAGTTACACCAGCTTTTTCCTTCAACCACGTTAGTTTTCCTTTGATCTTCACCTGGTAGAATGTTTTCGCAGCGTCGGGTGGCTAGAAAGAGACATTGGGAGACTAAAGAGATGACCTGACTTGCTAGCAGTCTTGTGGAAGCTGCAACATGATTTGTTTGATTTTCCTTCGTTAATGAAATTGATGGTTGATGATAATTACTGTTCCTTAATTCAACTGCCATTTTGTGGCCATTCTCGTTTTCAGCACCCACATGGGCCCCTTACCATCTATGTCAAGGAATGTCCATGGCTCAATGGTTTTGTTTTGGGTAAGTGTGCGTATTTTGGAACGTGTACAATCGTGGTATATACTATGTTAACAGATCATTTCCCGGTGAAACTATGTCACTATGTTTAAAATATAGTTCCCAGATGTTAACAGATCATTTTCCCATATGTTTTGAGTGTTACCCCCTGGTAAATTAGCATAGACCCTGAAAATCACCATTTGTTAGTTGAAACTAATCTTCCAACCCCGTTTTCTGTCAGGGTCCAACTGTTAATTTACCAGAGGGTAATATCTTTGCATATTCCATTCACAATTGACATATGGGTCTGGGTGTTTCGATTCTGGCGCCTTGGTTTCCACCCTTGGAAATCGCCAGCATTGGATGGTCGTATAGGATGGCATCCCACTGTGGACAAGCCAGGACAATTCAACATAATCGTGGTTAATAATGGTTGATAATGGGATAATCTATACCAGTAGTACCCGCACGAGGCGGGGCGGAAGTTGCCTTAAAGATATATATAAGACCTTTCTCATCTATAGAACTTGCATGCGCCGTGCGCCAGCCAAGCCCGTGCGTGCGTGCACTCTGCGAAAGTGGTGTCCTGTTTCACATGTCACATTTGAAGCTCCACGTCACACTTCACACTTGACAGTCTTCACACTTCACACCGCACCCTTCGCAATCAACACTTCACTTCACACTGTACTCTTAAGACTCCACACTTCACACTTCACACTGCACTCTTCGCACTCCAAACTTCACACTTCACAGTCCACACTTCACACTGCACTCTTCGCACTCCAAACGTCACACTTCACAGTCCACACTTCACACTTCTCACTTCTCACTGCTTCCTTCACACTCCAAACTTCACACTGCATTCTTCACACCCCACACTTGACACTGCACTCTTCACACCCCACACTTCATCTCATCTGAGCTCTTCTCACCTTATCCCAGCTGAGCTCTTCTCATCTCATCTCTTCTTGTCATCTAAGCTTTCATGAATCACTTCCCAGCACTACTACAAAGGAACTTGCATGCGCAGTGCGTCAGCCAGGCCCGTGCGCGCGTGCTTTGTGCGAAGCTGTTGCAATGTTGTTGTCCAAGAACATGACCTGCGCGCGTCCCCGGTGCAATGCAACGTGAAGCAAGCACTTTCCTCACACATCACATTGCACCCTTCACACTTCACATCTGAGCTCTTTTCATCTGGTTTCATGTCTTCCCATATGTCAGCTACGTTCTTCTTGGCTATTTTCATGTCATCTGAGCGCAGCTCAAACTTTCTCATGCGTTGGACCTACTTTCAACTTATCTCGGCGCTTCTGCACGTCAGCAAGGTTGAGCGTAACTCATGTCGATTCTTCTACATGCCAAAAGGCGTAGACCATAAAATGCGATCTGCAGAGGCTGAGTTGCAAAACACAATAGAACTACGCGCAACGGTGTCGCAAATTGCAGCTTCAAAACCGGATCTCGACGCCAAAGCAGAAAAAAGACGATTTTGAACCATTTTTTAAAAGGATTTTTAGAAGGAAAATTACTAGCGCCAAAGTTGAGAAAATCTGCTGCCAAATCATTATCGCAGCCTGGATGCAGCCATTCCAATACGATTTACGCTGTTCAACTGCAAAAGACAATACTATTACGCATGCAGCCGCGGCACCGAGCAACCTTGACAAAGCCACTACAATGCGATCTGCAGAGACTGAGTTGCAAAACACAATAGAACTACGCGCAACGGTGTCGCAAATTGCAGCTCCAAAACCGGATCTCGACGCCAAAGCCGAAAAAAGACGTTTTTGAAGCATTCTTTGCTCGGATTTTTCGAGGAAAATTACTAGCGCCAAAGTTGAGAAAATCTGATGACAAATCACTATCGCAGCGTGGATGCAGCCATTCCAATACAATTTACGATGCTCAGCTGCAAAAGACAATAGTATTACGCATGCAGCCGCGGCACCGAACAACCTTGACGCAGCCACTACAATGCGTTTCGCAGCATCCCGTAGCAAACCTGCACCTATCTACAGACGTGGCAACACCAAATGACAACAATCATGCAGCCATTCCAATGCGAGCTGCCACCACAGCTTCAAGAAACGCATAGAACTACGCACACAGGAACAACCATTGTTGCAAAACACATAGAAGGAACCAAACGACCCCAGCCGCAACCGCCGCACAGACGAGGTACCTTTCATCGCCGGCTGCAGCCACTTTACACGGAAAAACACAAGGTTTCGTGCTCCGGCTTCCTCCCCAAACATAGCCCATGCAACATCATGCAGCCATTACAATGCGTTTCGCAACATCCCGTGGCAAACCTGCACCTATCTACGCACGTGGCAACATCAAATGACGACAATCAAGCAGCCATTCCAATGCAATCTGCCACCACAGCTTCAAGAAACGCATAGAACTACGCACACAGGAACAACCACTTGTTGCAAAACACATAGAGGAACAATTCGCGACAGAAACGACCCCAGCCGCAACCGCCGCACAGACGAGGTACCTTACATCGCCGGCTGCAGCCACTGTTACACGGAAAAACACAAGGTTTCGTGCTCCGGCTTCCTCCCCAAAACATAGCCCATGCAACATTCATGCAGCCATTACAATGCGTTTCGCAGCATCCCGTAGCAAACCTGCACCTATCTACGGACGTGGCAACACCAAATGACAACAATCATGCAGCCATTCCAATGCGATCTGCCACCACAGCTTCAAGAAGCGCATAGAACTACGCACACAGGAACAACCACTCGTTGCAAAACACATAGGAGGAACAATTCGCGACAGAAACGGCCCCAGCCGCAACCGCCGCACAGACGAGGTACCTTTCATCGCCGGCTGCAGCCACTTTACACGGAAAAACACAAGGTTTCGTGCTCCGGCTTCCTCCCCAAAACATAGCCCATGCAACATTCATGCACTGCGTTTCGCAGCATCCCGTAGCATACCTGCACCTATCTACGGACGTGGCAACACCAAATGACAACAATCACGCAGCCATTCCAATGCGATCTGGCACCACAGCTTCAAGAAATGCATAGAACTACGCACACAGGAACAACATGGAACAACCACTCGTTGCAAAACACATAGGAGGAACAATTCGCGACAGAAACGACCCCAGCCGCAACCGCCGCACAGAGGAGGTACCTTTCATCGCCGGCTGCAGCCACTTTACACGGAAAACCACAAGGTTTCGTGCTCCGGCTTCCTCCCCAAAACATAGCCCATGCAACATTCATGCAGCCATTCCAATGCGATCTGCCACCACAGCTTCACAAGAAGCGCATAGAACTACGCACACAGCAACAACCACTCGTTGCAAAACACATAGGAGGAACAATTCGCGACAGAAACGACCCCAGCCGCAACCGCCGCACAGACGAGGTACCTTTCATCGCCGGTGCAGCCACTTTACACGGAAAAACACAAGGTTTCGTGCTCCGGCTTCCTCCCCAAAACATAGCCCATGCAACATTCATGCAGCCATTACATTGCGTTTCGCAGCATCCCGTAGCAACCTGCACCTATCTCGGACGTGGCAACCCCAAATGACAACAATCATGCAAGCCATTCCAATGCGATCTGCCACCACAGCTTCAAGAAACGCATAGACTACGCACACAGAAAACAACCACTCGTTGCAAAACACATAGGAGGAACAATTCGCGACAGAAAAGACCGCAGCCGCAACCGCCGCACACACGAGGTACCTTTCATCGCCGGCTGCAGCCACTTTACACGGAAAAACACAAGGTTTCGTGCTCCGGCTTCCTCCCCAACTCACGACTTCCCTTCCTCACCGCTTCCCATCGTCACCACTTCCCATCGTCACCACCTCCCTTCGTCCACTTCCCTTCGTCACCACTTCCCTTCCTCACCGCTTCCCATCGTCCCCACCTCCCTTCCTCACCATTCCCCTTCATCATCACTTCCCTTCGTCACCACTTCCCATCGTCACCACTTCCCTTCGTCACCACTTCCCTTCGTCACCACTTCCCATCGTCACCACTTCCCTTCGTCACCACTTCCCTTCGTCACCACTTCCCTTCGTCACCACTTCCCTTCCTCACCACTTCCCTTCGTCACCACTTCCCCTCGTCACCACTTCCCTTCCTCACCACTTCCCTTCGTCACCACTTCCCTTCGTCACCACTTCCCTTCGTCACCACTTCCCTTCCTCACCACTTCCCTTCGTCACCACTCCCCTTCATCATCACTTCCCTTCTTCACCGCTTCCCTTCGTCACCACTTGCCCTTCTTCACCACTTCCCTTCCTCACCACTTCCCTTCGTCACCACTCCCCTTCATCATCACTTCCCTTCTTCACCACTTCCCTTCGTCACCACTTCCCATCGTCACCACTTCCCTTCGTCACCACTTCCCATCGTCATCACTTCCCTTCGTCACCACCCCGTCATTGTCAACACTCTTCATCAAGGTCAATTCCACCGCTTCTTATTCTTGTGTTATGTATTGTTATGTTATGCATTGTTATGTGATCTACCACCCTTCATCAAGGTCAATTCCACCGCTTCATTGTCCTTCATCAAGGTCAAGTTATGTTATGTATTGTTATGTGATCTACCACCCTTCATCAAGGTCAATTCCACCGCTTCTTATTCTTGTGTTATGTATTGTTTTGTTATGTATTGTTATGTGATCTACCACCCTTCATCAAGGTCAATTCCACCGCTTCTTATTCTTTTGTTGTGTATTGTTATGCTATGTATTGTTAGATCACGTACCACCCTTCATCATAGTCAATTCCATCAAGTAAAAGTCATTCGTAACTCGGAAGTATTGCTTCCCAACTTCCTTTGATTAATAGTGGTTATTAGTGGTTAATAATGGTTGATAATGATAATCAATGAATAATTATCTGGTTGGTGGTTTCAACATGAATTGTATTTTATTTTTCCATATATTGATTACTATCGGCGTTGGCCTCTTTATTTGGGCCTTTCTGTTTTCTGGCTTTTGGACCCAGAAACTATTTGCAGATTTCCAGGAACTATTTGCAGAGTTCCAGGAACTATTTGCAAAACACATGCAATATTTTGAAGGAATATAATATTTTGAGTTTGGAAATAAATTAACCCCAGTGTATCAGTATAAAATGCAGTAAATAGCTCCTGGGATTTTATAAATAGCTTCTGGGATTTGTAAATAGTGCCTCGGATTTTATATATAGTTCCTGGGATTTTATATATAGTTCCTGGGATTTTATATATAGTTCCTGGGTAGCAATGTCCCCTAACACAGAAAGAGGCCAAGGCAATAAGTAATATATTGAGGATAATCATCCCAACTGACTTTCATTTTTTCAAGATGGTTGAAACCACCAACCAGTTATGTTATTATGGTTGAATTATGGTTTACGTGATTTTCTTATGGTATCTTTACCAATTTTACCATCTACCAATTGCAACTCTAATGGGAGTTCTTCCATGCACAGTGTGGGCGTACCAGCGTACCAGGTCATCACGGTGGGCGGTGCCATTTCAGCACTGGAGGAAGCGACACAGTGGCAACAAACTCTGAAGCTGCTGGCGCGGCTGCGGGCATCCTTTGGAACCTGGATAACTGAGCACTGAAACTGTGCAGTAGAGAAGCCTAGTGCTTGTCTATCCCACAATCTGGTTGGTGCTTTGGAACATTGTAACTATTTTTCCATTCAGTTTGGGAATCATCATCCCAACTGACTTTCATATTTTTTCAACATGTTCATCCCAACTGAATGGAAAAATCATCCCAACTGAATGGGAAGAATCATCACTGACCAAAACATATATTTTTCAGAGGGCTAGGGCGAAAAACCACCAACCAGTTATTGGCCATGATTCTTAGTAATATCAACAGTATTTATAGTATTTTATAGTATGAACTAATATATGAAGCATATGAATATATATGAATAAATAATTTATGATGATAGTAATGACAATCATGATGGCTAACTCGGTAAGTTGCCTTGATTCAAGAGATTTAAGACGCAGGTTGGTTGGGTACTATCGTTGGGTAAAAAACAAGCTAATCTCATAAGGGTTGCTATAAGCCATAGGAAAAACCAAGCAGTATTTCATGGTATGGGATAGTGATATGTTTCATGGCTCCTTGGCTGGGGATTGTCCCAAATGTTGGTGATATCAGAAATCATTGGTGGTTTGTCCTTATTTCCACTTCGCGAAACACCTCACGAATGCCACAATGTTGCTGCACCAGTGCCACAATGTTGGTGTACACTCTGGTAATTTGTTGCATAGCTATAGAAAATGACCCATTTTTAGTTACTGTAGATGAATGTAGATGATGTATATACCGTTTTCAAAAATGGTGATTGTCCATGTCGCAAGCTGCTAAACTTTTTTCACAGCGGGTAGATCCGACACGTCTGTCCATCCAACTTGGACTGGAAGTTGGTTGTTTGACCAGTGGTGCGTCCGAAAGTGCCTAGTAGTTTCGTTGCTGCGCCTCGTGACATTTAGGGTTGGTCAAAAGCAGTTGGGATAGCGTGCGATTGTCGAAAAATAGCCCAGGACAAAGCCAAGACGTGTTGGGTTTCTGATGTTTCTGATCGACGGGGGATCGACGGGACATCATTTCCGATGGGATCTCCGGTTTTATGAAATAACATGTAACCTACGTAATATAGTTCATATTATATGTTCCAACATTGGAAATCCGATGGGATTTCCAACTTATGTCCTAATAAAATCTAATAAATATGTTATCCATATGCAACCCATGGTGCTGGTATATTGACCTACATTTGCCCTAATAATCATCCAGTTATGGTGCAGTAAATATACCATACATCTGGGTAAATTAAGATTTTCACTAACCTGAATTAAGGCCATTTGGGGATGATTTCCCTTATTAACCATGATTCCAGGTTTCGGTCGCAGTGAGGTCGCTATAATTTCCCCATGGAGCATCTGGGTTATGGAAATGCTGGGTTGGATCCTATCGGAAATCGGCAACCATCGGGCCCGTGGCGATCCAGCCTTGAAACCCGTGGCGATCGTGCACTGGTCTGTAAGATGGTAATGCATATGATTAGTAAACATATATTTCTGGGTAATATTAAATATGGTCATGAAAAAGCCATTTTAAGTTTGTAATATGGTCATTAATAACCATCATATGTAGTATGGTCATTAATATGGTCTAAACATATATGTAATATGGTCATTAATAACCATCAATGGTTATAGAATTGAACTTAATAATGATAGATTGAACTTGGATGCACATGATTAGTAAACATTAATCACCATCATTTGCTGGGTACTTGGTAGGTGCTTCCCAATTGCTTGAGGCCAAGCAAAAACACAAAGGGCCGAAGCCACAATGGCGGTTGCTTTGGGTGCAATCATTTCAACAAAGGGCAACATTTATGCTTCGCGAAGTTTGACAAATGCACAGATACATACAGAAGCATGTTCTCTTTATTACTGTAAGATGTATTAAGCCGCAAAAATTGTATGAAATAAAATGAAATAACATAAATTGTGATTGCAGAAGTCCATGAATCTTCCCAATTTCCCTCTGGTTATGTCGACATAGCTATTGAAAATGGCTATAGAAATAGTGGATTTTCCCATATTTTCCCATTAAAAATGGTGATTTTCCATCGTTTTTTGTAAGTTTACCAGAGGGTACCGTTTGTTGAATCCATGCCACGAATCCGACTGCAGGCGCCGATGCGAAGCGTCGCCGCAACGCTGAGTTGGGGTTGCCCATGGGAGATCATGAGATCATGGGAGAAATCACCAACTATATTGGGAGGTAGAGTCAACTATATATATATGTATGTATATAATTATAAATAATCACAATATATATATATTTATCTATCTATCTATCTATCTATCTACTTGGGTTGGTCCATTTGGTCTGAAAATGAGAACATTCCACCCAATGAATATATGGCAATTTTGAGTAGGGCCAAAGCCATTGAGGCTGGTGTTAGACCACGAGTCCCCCCCCATTTCCATTCTCTTGAAGCTACATGTTTCGGTGGACACTTGCAGTGCATCATTTGGTGAAATCATTATTTATTATAGATTCATTTGGGTTTTTTTGTTGGCATGGGTCAAACTAGCTGAAGCCAAGAATAGAGTGTTTACCTCGGGCGCTGGTCATGGACAATTCGGCGACATCCTGAGGACATCCTGACAACATCCTGATCTATCTGGAAACCTAGTGCTTTCAAATCTTCCAACAAAGACAGTCGAACACGGAATAGCTGGAACCCATTGATACCCATTGTGGCTATTCCGTTGGCACGCCGTTCCGTCACGCCGTTCCGGCGCGGTGGGGGGAATTTTTGGGATGTCATGATTCGCCGCCGAGGCGCCCCATTCGTGTCCAGAGGCACAAGCAAAGCAGCGGTGATCTCAGAAAATGTGGAGGTGACAGCGGGAATTTTTGGATTTCATGGGATATTGAATGGAACATCTATGAAAATGTCAGGCAGTTAGGCTAGATGGCTAGATTTTCCGCATATGGAAAATGTATGAAAATGTGACTAGTCAAGACATGCTTTTGCTGAGGACCAGAGATTTCTTAGGGGGGTTGATGCAAAGGTGTTTCCCCAATTGGGATGGTTTATTCATTTGACTGCTTTTTGCAACCTGCCATCAAGCAGTTGGGCAAGCTTTTGCAGGTTTAAACCATCGGTGACCAGTAGAAAAGAGACATATTACCGGGAACCCCCCGAAAAATGATTAGACAAATTGTAGATGCGACGTTTCTGTTGTAGGTTGAAACCGTCAACGATTTTCACAAGGTGGTGCTCCCCAGTTATGGTTCATAGAGCCATTAAATATATTTAAATCTAGTTATTTGATCACCACAAACCCTAGTTGACATAGTTGTGACATAGTGACCGAGACCAACTTAGCTAAGTTCAACTGGTTCAGTATTCCATTCTATCCCCCATGACATCCCCCACAACAAATAGCCATTCAAAAGTCGTCCTCTGACTCGGCTTTAAGGTGGTAAAGCCACATCTTCCAAAGGCGACTGGGCTTGGGATGAAAGTTTCCACCCATAAAAATAGTGATGACTTGGGGATGCACATTGGGATACTTGAAGTGAATCCCACACCTAAAATACAGTAGGATAAAAAAATGAGTTTTAAGTGAATCATTGTGGTTTCATGTGGTTTTATATGGATTGATAGATACCGGTGAGTTTTTTTTGGTTCCGAGTTCATTTTAACTGTTGTTGATATGCATGTAGATGTAGATCAGCACACATACACACACATCGATGCGACAACATCAGCTTCTGAAATTTACGCATTGTCCAAGCATGCGCTTCTGTAATCTGTGACAGCCCAATAAAGGTGGCTGCTAAGGGCTAACCATCAGCTTGTGAAATTTACCGAAGATGGTTGTCAAAGCTTATTCTATATATATAATATGCGACAACCCCACAAAGGTGGATGCTACGGGCCACCACCACAATGTAATATCCAAGGCGCTCAGCTTCCAAAGTCTCGCCCCTGCCACCTGCAACTCTTGCGCCTGCCACGCTGTTTTCTACTTCCCCACTTCACGGGTGTGATTTGTATGGGCCTGCCAATGCAACGCACATGCAACACACATGCAACACTCATGCAACACACATGCAACACGAGCATTTTCCCTGTAAATTTCCAAGCAAAGTGGCCGCGGGGGCAAAAATCTACACTTTCCATTCTAAGACCGGAGTTGGGGCTGCAAACGTCAAATCTGCACGTTGACTGTAAATTTACAGGTAAAAAGCTCATGTTGCATGTCGTGTTGCATGTGTGTTGCATGTGTGTTGCATGTGTGTTGCATGTGTGTTGCATGTGCGTTGCATGGCAGGTGTGCAGGATAGAGCAGTCCCACGCAGAACGACAGCCAGTGCACCCCACGACATTGCGGAATCAGGTCAAAAAGGTGTCAAGACTGTCGCTGCATGTACGACATTGCGGAATCAGGTCAAAAAGGTGTGAAGACTATCGCCGCATGTATTTCACTTAGCACAACCCATATTAGCACATATGCGCCCGCGCAAGCAAACAGACACACCCACACACAAACACCCGCCCAAACTGATCCTGATGCTTTCTCTGACACAGTGTCGTCATCATTCTCGCGTTTGTCTGCAGCCATGGGTCCATCCTATTGTGTCTTTTCTGAGTCGGTGAGTTTTTTTTTGGGTTCCGAGTTCATTTTAACTGTTGTTGATATGCATGTAGATGTAGATCAGCACACATACACACACATCGATGCGACAACATCAGCTTCTGAAATTTACGCATTGTCCAAGCATGCGCTTCTGTAATCTGTGACAGCCCAATAAAGGTGGCTGCTAAGGGCTAACCATCAGCTTGTGAAATTTACCGAAGATGGTTGTCAAAGCTTATTCTATATATATAATATGCGACAACCCCACAAAGGTGGATGCTACGGGCCACCACCACAATGTAATATCCAAGGCGCTCAGCTTCCAAAGTCTCGCCCCTGCCACCTGCAACTCTTGCGCCTGCCACGCTGTTTTCTACTTCCCCACTTCACGGGTGTGATTTGTATGGGCCTGCCAATGCAACGCACATGCA